TATATATATATATATCTTCAAGAGGCTAATGACAGAAGCACTATTATAAGCCCCTTTCGACAACTGAGGAAACTGGGGCATAGAGAAGCAAAGTCACCAGTTAGAACTCACATAAGGGACACTGAGCACTGATCTCTCCTTTTTCTCCCGCGCCCTCCCCATTAAAAAAAAAAAAATATATATATATATATCTTCAAGAGGCTAATGACAGAAGCACTATTATAAGCCCCTTTCGACAACTGAGGAAACTGGGGCATAGAGAAGCAAAGTCACCAGTTAGAACTCACATAAGGGACACTGAGCACTGATCTCTCCTTTTTCTCCCGCGCCCTCCCACCTCTCCAGAATGCAAGGATGTGAACAAGGTGGCGTACTGCCCCCTGGTGCTCAAATTTCAATTCTGTAGCAGAGCCTACTTCCGCCAGATGTGCTGCAAAACCTGCCAAGGCCGCTAGGGGGCATGCGGTACCTGGAGCCACCTCGGAGCAAGGCTGAGGCTGGGGAGCCCCACAGAAGAGGGCCTGAGGGGGAGGGAGGCTGGGATTGAATGGTGAGGTGCAATTGAAAGTTATTTATTGGGAAACCCCCATAGGACTCCTAGTTAGGGATAAAGAAGAGCTGTCTACCCTATGTCTGCCCTAAGGGCCCTCTCCAGCTCCTTGCCCAGTTGACAGTGGACAGATAGGGCAGCCTCAGCACGCACTGCACCCACTGTTAAGTCTTCAACACTACCCCCACCCTTTGATTGGAATACATACTGTGAAGAGTGGGGGTGGGGAGGGGGTGTGCTAGTGCCCTGCCCCCCAGCACTGTTCTACCCCTCCACTCTAAGCTGGGGGAGATCTAAATCTGCTGAGTGGGGTTAGCACCATCTCCCTGTGACCCTTCCCATAACTGACCACCGGGAAGAGCTATCCCAACCTCTGCCCTGCCTGCCCCCAGGGAGACCCTAACATCCAGACCACCCCCCATCATGGTGCTACAAGCCCTGCCCTGGGGCCCACACACTCCTTACCAGGAAGCTCTACATCAATAAAGTTCTGTCTTGTGTAGATTTCTGAGCATGAGTAGGTGTGTGTCTGTGTGTAGGTATCCCACCCAGCCCTATCCCAGAATCAAAAGGGATCATGAGGGGAGGGAGGGAGTTGGCAGGATGGCTAAATGGGTAAAGGTGCTTGCTGGCAAGCCTGACAGTCTGAGTTCAGTCCCAGGACCCACATGGTGGAAGGAAAGAACCAACTCCTGCAAATTGTCTTCTATCACATGCTTGCCATGGTATGAGTGCCCAAGTACATACATGTGTGAATGAATAAACTAAATGTCTTTGAGGCAGGGTCTCCCTGTAGTCCCAGCTGGCCTAGGACTCACTATTTAGACCAGGCTGGCCTTGAACTCACAGAGATCCGCCTGCCTCTGCCTCCCAAGTGCTGGTATTAAAGGCCTGCGACACCACAACTGTTGAGCTAAAATATTTTTAGGAAGGGAATCACTATCACAACCCCTCATAAGTCATCCTTTGCCCACCACAGACAGAAACTCGGTGATTTTAAGACGGAAGTACAGGGGGCCTAGAGAGATGTCTGAGCACTGGCTGCTCTTCCAGAGGACCCAGCACCCACACAGCAGGTAACAGCCATCCTACCTCCATTTCCGGGGATCCAACACCTTCTGCTGACCTCTGCAGGCATTGTACAACATGGGTGCACTTACACACATGCAGGCAATACAGTCATACACATAAAATAAAAAATAATATAACTTTTTTTAAAAAAAGACAGAAGTAGGCTGGAGAGTTGGCTCAGCAGTTAAAAGCACTGACTGCTCTTGCAGAGGACCTGGGTTCGTTCCCAGAATCCACATGGTGGCTAACAACCATAGGTAACTCCAGCTTCAGGGAATCCGACGCCCTCTTTTGACTTCCGCAGGCATTGCACGACACAGATACACCTAACTACGTGCAGGCAATACGCTCATACACATAAATAAAAAATTAAATATTTTTTAAAAATAAATAAATAGGGCTGGGCGTGGTGGTGCACGCCTTTAATCCCAGCACTCGGGAGGCAGACGCAGGTGGATCTCTGTGAGTTCAAGGCCAGCCTGGTCTACATAGTGAGTTCCAGGACAGCTGGGGCTACAAGGAGACCCTGTCTCAAAAAGATCAAAAATAAATAAATAAGCCGGGCATGGTGGCACATGCCTTTAGCCCCAGCACTCAGGAGGCAGAAGGAGGCGGATCTCTGTGAGTTCAAGGCCAGCCTGTTCTACATAGTAAGTTCCAGGACAGCTGGTGCTACCGGGAGACCCTGTCTCAGAAACTATAGATAAGAGGATCAATGGTGTTTATTTTACATTTAAGAATGGATCACTATGTTCTATCACTGTGATAGATAGATAGATAGATAGATAGATAGATAGATAGATAATAGATTATAGATATAAATAAATAAATAAATAAATAAATAAATAAATATAAAAAAGAAGTACAGCTTCTCACCGAGACTTAGAAAGGCACAGCTCTCTTGTACCCACCAACAAAATGTGATTGTCCTGCCTCTTAGAGTTTTGGGTTTGTTTGTTTTGTTTGTTGAGATAGGGTCTCCCAGTAGCCCCAGCTGGCCTGGAACTCACTATGTAAATCAGGCTGGCCTCTATCTGACAGAGATTACCTGCCTCACCACCACCCCCGAGCCTCTCCAGAGTTTTTACATGCTGAGTTGTGTTACCTGCTCTGGAGATCCAGATCCAGACTGCTTCCCAGCTAGGTCACTAGGCAACAGCTCCTGGGACTCTGACATATGCAGGAGATGTCCGGGTCCTCAGGCCTAGATCAAAGATGGTTCTGAACACTGGTCACTGAGAAGCTCTCACAGGTCTGGTTCTGCCATAGCCACATCTTCAGTGGGTCACATGTAGAAGTGACAACATTTTGGAATTGTTATTTCCTCAAATGTCTACAGAAGACTCAAGAATGACCTGCTGGTCATCCAAAGATCAAGGAGTAGGTTAACACATGCTGTGTGTGTGCTAGACATTGCTGATAGAGCCGAGTTATGAAATAGCAAAGCTTGCAGGTATAAAAATCTGTGGGATATGCAATAGCCAATATGCAGAGAACAAGATGCTTATCCCTGAGTAGGCCAGCTTTTTCAAACTTCTGCCTCCAAGGCTCAGGGATCATATTGGAAGAGAAGATCGAAAGATTGTAAGAGCTGGAGGGGATGGATGACCACAAGGAAACAGAATCTTCCACACACAAGTCCTGTACAAGCTCAAATCAGACAAATCCCAGCATAGACATGGGGAAGTGGGTAAGAAGTCCCAAACCAACCTGAGGAACTTTGGGCAACTGATGGCTGCTGGGAGGGGGAAAGTCAGTGTCTTACAGGATTGGCACTCTTACTGGGCTCAGTGAATGGGTCCATGCTGAAAGACATTGGGGGACACAAATCATACTCTCTAGGCCATATTACATATTTAAGAAAGCTCATTAAATTGGACAGGAACCAGTTGGGGGAGGTGGGGAGATGGCAGCATATCTAAATGCCATCGAACTATATTGTATGGAAATCACAAAAATTTCAATTAAAAACATTTGGGGTGGGGTGGGGGGACTGGAGAGATGGTTCATTGTTTAAAAGCACTTGCTGTTCTTCCACAGAACCTGAGTTCTATTGTCAACACCTTATCTGGCAGCTCACAACCACCTAACTTCAGCTCCAGGGGATGTAACACCTCTGGCTTTTATGAGTGGGCACACATACAATTTTAAAAAATAAAAATGAGTCTTTAAAACACAAATCCAGGGAGTTGGAGAGATGGCTCAGTGCTTAAGAGGGCTGACTGCTCTTCCGGAGGACAAGTTCAACTCCCAGTATCCATGTCAGGTGGCTAACAACTGCCTGTAACTCCAGCTTCAGGGGATCTGGCTCCCTCTTCTGGCCTCTGGGGCACCCACATTCATGTGGCATACACACACACACACACACACACACACACACACACACACACAGAGGCATATAATTGGAAAAAAAATCCAGACGGAATGTGGTGGCCCATGCCTTTAATCCCAATGGCAGACCTATTGTTATGAGATCAAGGCCAACCTGGCCTATATATCAAGTTCCAGCTGGAGCTATAGTGAGACCCTGTTTCAAAATAACAAAACAAGGGGCTGCAGAGATGGCGCAGCAGTTAAGAGCACTGGCTGCTTTTGCAGAGGACCCAGGTTCAGTTCCCAGCATCCACATGGCAGCTAACACTTTCCTAAACTCCAGTTCCAGGGGGTCTGATGCCCTCTTCTGGTCTCTCTGGGTATTGCATGACACGAGTACACTTACATATATGCAGGCAAGACACACATAAAACAAAAATTTTTAATTTTTAATGAAAAAAAATAGGGGTTGCTGGGCGTGGTGGTGCATACCTTTAATCCCAGTACTTGGGAGGCAGAGGCAGGCGGATCTCTGTGAGTTCAAGGCCAGCCTGGTCTACATAGTGAGTTCCAGGACAGCTGGGGCTACAGGGAGACCCTGTCTCAAAAAGACAAAAAAAAAGGGGGGGGGGAGGCTGCTGAAAAGATGGCTCAGCAGTTGAGAACACCTGCTATCCTTCCAGAGGACCTGGGTCCAATTCCCAGCACCCACATGACGGCTAAAAACTGTCTGTAACTCCAGTTCCAGGGGATCTGACACCCTCTTCTGATTTCCTT